AAGCGGTCGGGGAAGATCGGTCCCCCCAGAAAGGAGTAATTCGCGAAAATCGCATGCACGACTTTCCGGGAAATCGGGGGGAACTAATCCCTCGATTATCGACCACCGATCGTCGAGAGGAATTTAGGGTATAAAACCCGCTCTCGACGAAAGATCGAGGCAGACCGTGAGAGACAGTGAGTCCACTAGATCAGTTACCAAGGAGAGCTCCAGCGAGAACCGCGAAGAGAAGTCGACGAGAAGGCAAGGCATCCGCCGGTGAGTACAGCTTCCACACCGTACCGAACCACCGGGAACTTTTACAAGACCCGGCAGCCGAGCCTCGTCGGCCGACCAGGCATCGCGATTTTACCGTACTTGTCCGTCTGTGTCGGCAGCAGTTAGTCACCGGCACAGAATATCTCTAAGTATCCGTTCGCTAAATTACCGTATACGTCCGTCTGTGTCGGCAGCAGTTAGCCACCGGCACAGAATATTTCTAAGTATCCGTTCGCGAAGTTACCGTATTCGTCCATCTGTGTCGGCAGTAGTTAGCCACCGACACAGAATAATTCTAAGTATCTGTTCGCGAGATTACCGTATTCGTCCGTCTGTGTCGGCAGCAGTTAGCCACCGGCACAGAATATTTCTAAGTATCCGTTCGCGGATTTATACCGTATTCGTCCGTCTGTGTCGGCAGCAGTTAGCCACCGACACAGAATAATTCTAAGTACCTGTTCGCGAGATTACCGTATTCGTCCGTCTGTGTCGGCAGCAGTTAGCCACCGACACAGAATAATTCTAAGTACCTGTTCGCGAGATTACCGTATTCGTCCGTCTGTGTCGGCAGCAGTTAACCACCGGCACAGAATATTTCTAGATATCTGTTCGCGGATTTATACGTGCTCGTCCGTCTGTGTCGGCAGCAGTTAGCCACCGGCACAAAATATTTCTAAATATCTGTTTCCGAACGAACGGCAGCAGTTAGCCGCCGTTCCGCGATTGCTAAGTGCTCGTCCGTCGACGTTAGGCAGCAATTAGCCGCCGCGCCGACTTAGACTAAGTATCTGTTTCTGAACGAACGGCAGCAGTTAGCCGCCGTTCCGCGATTTCTAAGTGTACATCCGTCTGTGTCGGCGGCCGTGGCCACCGACATAGAATAATTTCGAAGTTCTGTTCGTGAATATAAGTGCTCGTCCCTCTGTGTCGGCAGCAGTTAGCCACCGACACAGAATATTTCTAAGTATCTGTTCGCGGATTCATATGTGCTCGTCCGTCTGTGTCGGCAGCAGTTAGCCACCGGCACAGGATATTTCTAAGTATCTGTTCACCGATTTACAAGTGTTCGTCCGTCTGCGTCGGCAGCCGTTGGCCACCGACGAAGAATATTTCCGAAGTATCTGTTCGCGAAATCATCAGTGCTAGTCCGACTTTGTGACTGTGGTGAGCTACCCGGAATAAACCACCTCCAACTTATCCAGAGGATAGCTGGCGTAAATCGCCCTCAACAGGACTCGTGGCCGAGGATGTCGGACTGCCACGAGGCCGCGGGACATCCCCTCTGACCCCGCGGACAGGAGACCGTCCTTGCGGCTAAGCGGGAAGTCACGGGCACCGAGGAACGGGCATCGCCGACGCCACACCGGGACAGCGAGCCGCCCACATACACTTATATATATATATATAGCCTATCTTGTTTTGTTCTTTTTAAATAAACAGGGTGCCTCGCGCACCACTTTGGTTAATATCTCAAACGCTGAACACACCATTTCTTCCGCGAAGCTACCTTGAACTACCTTTTCTACGAGAACCAGCCCTTCACCCGAGTAACGCACCGACGCGGCGGCGAGCGTGGCGTCGCGGAAGCGGCGAGCCGGGCGCGACGGTGGGGCGACTGATCGCACCGAACCCCGCGGGCGTTACCGTTACAAAGGAAGCATACTTACTGTTTGGTGGAATGGTACTAACATTGACATTTCAGGTTAAACTTTACGAAATGCAAAGGAATCTTTCTGCATTTTCCATTGGCTGACTTTTACGTTTTACGCCAACTGTATGTCATGGACTTTACGTCTTACATCTTAAGTTTACGTCTTACGTTCTTACGGAATTTTATGTGTGATGGCATTTAATGCCTCGTCTACAATGGGGTCGTAGAGTAATAAAATATGGTCGTAGAGTCGTGGTGGTAGTCGCTTGAGAGATCGTAATCGCTGTCGTTCAAGTTAGGATCGTCTACAATAGAGTCATAAAGTCATAGAATACGGTCGTAGAGTCGTAGCAATGGTCGACTGAAAAGTTATTTTCGATCGCAAAACGCTTACAAGCACAGTCGCTTGAGTTGGTTCCAATCCAATTTCAGCGACTATTGTAACGACTTGAGCTACAATAGACCAATCAGAGGAAAGATTTTATATATCACGCTATGAAAACAACGTGGGAAAATGATATCGGTGTGTGGACGGCACTTATTTATTCATTTTTGATAAAGTCACCTTTACAAATTTCATCAGTATCACAAGGATCAATGATAAAGAATTTATCAGCAAAATTGCCTACTTGCAATAAAAATTTTATTAATATTTCTGAAGGTAAATGATTAATAAATTACTATTTTCCACAGAAAACTTAATCATTAATTACATTCTTAACACTTCTAAATAAATTTCAGATAGCGAGAATATTGATCCAGCAAATAAACATAACCTCAAAGTGCCTAAAACAGATATCAGGAAAAGAAAGAATATAAGTCTTGATGTGAATTTTCTAATTATGGAATCATCACAGGCTGTTACTGCAGCCTGTTCAGCTTTGCCAGCATTGCTGAACAGTACAACTTTCACGCCAGATACAAAAGAAGAGAAAAGTATGGTGACAGTCTTATTACATGGAATAAAACGTGTACCTATGCAACCAAAAATTAAATGTTTTATCAAACTGTTGGAAATATCGGAATCATTTCAGCATGAGTGAATAATTATATAGTCATTGCTGATAGAAAATATTAAAAATATAATTGTCCTATTATAGCATATGTTATAGTGTAGTTGGATTCTATATGGAATATTGTCAGCAATCAGCAGAGAAAGTTATGTAAATGTTATAAAATTGATCTGATTAGTATATATTTTTAAATTCAATCAAGATTAAAAGCATACCATCAATTAGATTCACGTATTTTTACACAGTTGCAAAACTTTCTTCTCTATATTCTCTATATAACAGTTGTACTGTTAAAAGAAGAAAACTCAATATGAATATTAAAAGTAATACTTTTGTGGAACATACAATTTAATCATGAAACAATAGCCTTGCTTTGTGGTATCAACAGATTTTCATAAGATATATCATCTTATATATCTCCTTTTTATATATCTTTTTATATATCTCCTTTTTCTAAAAAAAGGTCTGACAATATGGCACAAATAATCATATTGGACAGGTGTCATTCGTGTCATACTAAAAAATTTTTCATAATCTGTCTCATATGCCTCTTTGAATTGTTTATTGAAATATCCTAAATAATCTCTGCTTCTATTTATAGGTCTTATCCACTATCTTCTTTGTCTTTTTTGTTTTAGATATAAATATATCGATATTAAATTCAAATGGTAAGCATTTAATAACAAAGAAATACTACAAATTGCACGGAATTCCATTATATTTCTATTTCAATAACACACATAAACACAATCGATCATTCGTATTATGTACGGACAATATCCTGCTCTCTGATTGGTTTACACTCCGATCCAGCGACTAATTGAACTTTATACAAGCATCGCCATAGGACCCAGCTCACGACTTTACGACTTCACGACTTTACGACCCCATTATAAACGTAGCATAAGAAATGGACCAACTACAGTTGATTATTTTTGTCATAATCGACTGTAATTGGTTTATTTCTTACCGCTTACGCTTACTTCTTACTGCTTAAGTCCTTTGCACGTAGAAAAGTTTTAACCGTAACCGTAATTCCGTAAGAAAATTGACCAATCAGTCGATTCTTTCTCTTGTGTTATTGTAATAATCGACTGTAATTGGTCAATTTTCTTACGGAATTACGGTTACGGTTAAAACTTTTCTACGTGCAAAGACCTTTACTGTCATTGTAGACTACGTTTTAAACGTTTTAAACGTGGTCTACAATGACAGTAAGCAGTAAGAAGTAAGCGTAAGCGGTAAGAAATAAACCAATCACAGTTGATTATGACAAAAATAATCAACTGTAGTTGGTCCATTTCTTAAGGCCATCACACGTAGAAAAATTTTAACCGTAACCGTAAGGTTGTAAGAAAACTGACCAATCACAGTCGATCCATTCTCTTGTGACATTACAATTTTTCTACATGTGATGGTCCTTAAGGCCTTTGCACGTGAAAATCATTAACCTAACCGTAATCGTAATTTCCGTATTGGCCAATCACAGTCGATTCTTTCTTTTGTTACAGTATAACAGGCGATTAAGATTGGTCAATTTTTATCGAATTACGATAACGGTTAAAAATTTTCTACGTGTGATGGCCTTTACTGTTCATGCTTACTTCTTATAGACCACGCTTGAAGCGTCGTCTACAATGGCAGTAAGCAGTAAGAAGTAAGCGTGAACAGTAAGAAATGGACCAACCACAGTTGATTATTTTTGTCATAATCGACTGTGATTGATTTATTTCTTACCGCTTACACTTACTTCTTACTGCTTATTGCCATTGTAGACGACGCTTGAGACAGCAAGGGAGTAGGATTAGGAGCAACCATGAAATATAATAGTTGTAGATGAGAGTGTGTATTGCTCTCTTCAGATTCAGATCTCACTCGCTCCATTCTCGTTATCGTAAGCCCATTACTACTCATTTTGTAATAATTACCAAACATTTAGTAACAATTACTATATTGGTTACTATTTACCAAATATTATACTGAAATGCGTAACCAAATGGATTTGGTAAGTATTACCAGACTTTTTTCTTAGTGTAGTTATACTATAGAAGTCTGTGGATACACTCCTTCGGTGGGTGCGTTCGGGGAGCACGCTATTCGCACAATAAGTATCTAAGACCGTTCGAGGAGACGCTTTGTGGCGCTATAAAATCGATAATGACATCACTCTCAAAGCAGCGTGACGTCATTATTCGCGCAATTTTTCGCTATCATTTTCGAGGTAGGGCAGCAAATGCTATTAGCGCTAATTGGCGCTTATTCTCTCCTCGAACGTTCGATTGTGCTTTAAAGTGTTAGTCTATGATCTGTTCTTTTTAACTGCTGTTCTTTCAACCAATTACAACAGTGCAACCAGAAAGAACAAACCAATTGCGCCAAAAGTCAAATAAAGACAATTTATTAAACTGTGAGAAACTGTATTCACAATGGCTCAACCACTTACAAGGGACATTCGGCAACGCGGAAATTCAAAAAAATCTGAAACTCTGCATAATTGTAGAGCAGATATACTTAATAACAAAACAATTTTTCGTTGGTGCCCAAAAACGGTTTTAAGGGTGGAAACAACCCCTTGAACAAAGTTGATTTTTGTCTTTCTAAGCGAATATTATCGAAACTATTAAAGATATGAAAAAATGTTTTAGACAAAAGTTTTATGGTTTTAAAAGTACTTTATTATGCTATATTTATTATGCTATATTTTTTAAAAATGTAAAATTGTGTATAAAATACCCCCCCCCCTCCTTCTCTTTTTTTAAATTGTTAAAATCAATTGTCCAACCAAAATAAAGCTTATTTTATGACAAATTCAACCATATATAATAACATTATGTTTGGAAAAGGCAATATTGAAAAAAAAATTAAACATGCTCTTATATGTATGCTACGCGTACCAAACTTAAGGATTCGCTACTTGACGATGGCATTTCTTTCTTCCTCAAATCTTCCTCATAATTGCAAACTGTAAAAGATAAGGAAGGAAGAAAATAGAAAATCTAAAAAAGCAATAAAGTTGATGTTAAGAAGTAAGTAGGAGGAAAATAGCATGATAAGGATACAGTCACTAATATTTAAAAATGTTATAAATTATAAAATTTCACGTAATAGACGTTTATTTTGCCAACATTGCGGCTACCTTTTTCATTAATTTAAACGACACGTAAATATAAATAAATATGTGTGTGTGTGTATGTGTGTTTTTGTACGTGCGCACGTGTGTGTACATCATGGCAACATGCAAAACACTTGTCACAAGTTTTATGACTGTGCGACCAAAATAGCACTCTTTATCAAGTACAGTGCAATCAAGGTTCATTATATTGACATATGTTATCTTCATTCATTTGCATATAAAAGCTGTCCATTTTGGAATACATTTCAGTGTTATTGAAGCAGTTATTGAAGCAGTACGTATATTATTATTGCTGTGAGAAATGTTTAATTAAAATATCCTTAAGATTTGTATCATAATGTCAGTAATAAATCCAGCTAATGTTATTAATTTGTTAATTGCGACATTTCATTTCACAAATATTGCAATAACTCCTGTTAATCATCAAGAGGTGGAACTCCATGATACAATTACTGATTTAATAAAGAGTGCTATACATCACGATATTACGATCGAACATGAGTGGGGACTTGATTTTGACGATCCATCAGAACCGCATGACGTACAATTTGTAGGTGTGTACGATATTGATGCTGAAGAAGATAATTATGGAAATGAAGTTTGCACTGTGGATGATGAAGGTGGAAATGTAAACTTAAATTATAAGAAAAAGGCAATCGAATTTTGGAAGAGTGGAAAGAAAGGACATTTATCTCTTACTTCTGTACAACATCGTTTTATAAAAGTAAAGTTTAATTAAAAAATAAGAAGAATAATACATAGTAAAATACTTGAGGCTTTTACGGTGTACAGTGACCGGCAGTGATTCGTTCCGCGACAGAGAGAACTCTATTTCCCCTCTCGCGGAACGCATCATTGTCGGTCATTGTACATACAGCTTTGACTATAAGTATAAAGCATTCCAAAAAATTGATTTAAATTGTGTAACAAAAACATACTATATGAATATATGGAGAACATAATATAGTATACGAGTATATGGAAAAATAATATAGTAAAAAAATATAATATAAGAATATGTGGAAAATAATATTTATTTTACAATATTTATTGTAATATAATATAATATAATATTAATATAATATAAATTATAATATAAATATAATATACATAAATATAATATACACATTATATTATAAAATATTAATATAATATTTATTGTAAAGAGATTATATATTTACTATGAGTATATGCATTGATTTCTAGGAAAATACAATGAGTTAGAGATGCTTTATACTTATGACCAAAGCTGTAAATTATATAGTTAGAGTCGCGTTGTTTTTTATTTTAAGTTTTACAATTTGATGTTTCGTGAACATTTAATTCGTATATAACTTCTTTTATTTTTGAATTCGAATTGTTTAATATTGAGATTTGTTTTCTTCTAGGTAAAATCTATTCAACAATTGCACAGATGGCAAGAACATGTAATGCGTGGGGGTTCAAATACAGACAAACTTGTAGTTATTGCTGAATATGTTCTTATAAAATTCCAAGAAGCTGTTAATAGAGGACTTATTATTCATGATATAAATCTGCGAAAATGGGCACTAGAAGCAAAGGAACAAGTGGATTTTTCTTCATTTAAAGCAGGAAATTGGTGGATATGGAATTTTAAAAAGGCACATCGTATTACATCACGTAAAATAACTGCATTTAAAACGCGGTCTTCTCATTTAACTGATCTAACTATACGTCAAAACGCTGAGGAATTTGTAAATACAGTAAAGCCACATATTAATGTAATCGGTGCTGAATCAACTTATAATGCGGACGAAAGTGGCTTTAATTTAGAAATACATGCAGGAAGAACATTAGCTAATGTAGGAGTGAAGACAGTTGGAGCTACTATCCAATCTTTATCTGCTATGACTCATAGCTACACCATTATGCCTATTATATCTGCAGATGGACATCTCCTTTCGCCTTTGTATATAGTATTAAAAGAATCTACTGGTGTTTTTGGACCACAAGTAGAACAAACTCTTTTTAGACCAGTGAATATTTATATTGCGGCTTCAAAATCAGGGAAATTGACAACTGAACATTTCAAAAATTGGTTCCAAGAAGTGTATCTACCAAACACTGGAGAGAAAAGTATACTACTGCTTGATTCATGGACAGGACATTGCCCGAACCAATTGGAAGAACTTGTACCAAAAGACAAACATGTAAATATTCTAACAATACCAAAAAAAACAACTGCTTTTATACAGCCATTAGATGTTTTTGGTTTCAGAATCTGGAAAAATTTTGTTCGAAGCTTTTCTGATAGTGTTATTATAAATAATTATGACATAAATTTACATTTACGTAATAACATAATAAAATTGCAATCTTTAACACACAATCAACTGTCTTCTCCAAGATTTCGAAATTTATTTAGATATAGCTGGTATAAAAGTGGTTATTTATCAACACGGCCTGAAAAATTTCATAATCCAATCGATTATTGTTATTTTAAAGAAGAAAAACGTATACCAAAATGTAGCATTTGTGGTAAAATGGCTTTTATACGTTGTGCATGGTGCAAGCAATATTTTTGTTTTGAACATTTCTTTGAGCAATATCATTATTGTAATAATTATATAGAATAAATAATATTTTACTGTCCTCAATTCCTGTAAAATTTGTATATATTATAATCCATACCAAAATATAAGATATCTTTCACTCGAATATCTATATCGACTACTTAATTAATAAAACCTATATACTGAATGAAGCAAAACATATACACACAAATGTACACTGAATAAATTTATAAATTATATTTTTCATTATTAAATCCGTGTGTGTTCTCCTTTTTTCTTCATATCATTCATTTCCTTATTTGTTCTTTACAATTGAATTTAAAAGATTATCTATATTAGGGTTATATACACTCTCTTTGCGTCCTCCTTATCATGCTGTTCTTCTTCAACTTACTTCTTAACATCAACTTTATTGCTTTTTTAGATTTTCTATTTTCTTCCTTCTTTATCTTTTACAGTTTGCAATTATGAGGAAGATTTGAGAAAGAAAGAAATGCCATCGTCAAGTAGCGAATCCTTAAGTTTGGTACGCGTAGCATATATATAAGAGCATGTTTAATTTTTTTTTCAATATTACCTTTTCCAAACATAATGTTATTATATATGGTTGAATTTGTCATAAAATAAGCTTTATTTTGGTTGGACAATTGATTTTAACAATTTGAAAAAAGAGAAGGAGGGGGGGTATTTTATACACAATTTTACATTTTTAAAAAATCTAAATATAGCATAATAAAGTACTTTTAAAACCATAAAACTTTTGTCTAAAACATTTTTTCATATCTTTAATAGTTTCGATAATATTCGCTTAGAAAGACAAAAATCAACTTTGTTCAAGGGGTTGTTTCCACCCTTAAAACCGTTTTTGGGCACCAACGAAAAATTGTTTTGTTATTAGGTATATCTGCTCTACAATTATGCAGAGTTTCAGATTTTTTTGAATTTCCGCGTTGCCGAATGTCCCTTGTTAGTCAAATATCTGAAAATGTCGAAATTCATCTTTTAGATGAAAACGACGTGACATATACAATAAAAGTATCGCCAAATGATGCAGCGCGTGCAGAAAATGGTAATTATGATGACAGAGGTTATATAAGTATTCTATATGCTAATAATTATCAAAGTATAGAAGATAGATCAGTTGATATAATGGAAATTAATAAATTAGATTATAATAAAAGAATGTGATTGATTTATATCTCCTTTAATATATAGATATTATTCGTTATTCTTTTAGATACGATATTTGCTACTTATCTTCTAAAAAGAGCAAAATCACAAGATTCAGATTTTGATGCAGCAAGTCTTTCAATGGAGTCTTCCAATTCTGAGGATAATAATGAATCAATGTTTAAATGGTCTCATGCGGCAATTCTATTGCTGGTAGAAAAGTATCGGCTGCAAGAAAATAACATTGTATCGGGTAAAATGTCCCAGAAAAAAGTATGGAATAATATTGCATCAGCATTATCTGTTAAAGGCTATAATGTCACTGGACCTCAATGTCTTTCAAAATTTCACGGAATGAAACGAACTTATAAATCTATAAAAGATCACAATAGCAAATCAGGGAATAATCTTAGAACATGGCCTTATATGGAAGTCATGGAATCTTTGCTTGGTGAACGACCTTTTATGTCGCCTCCAGCAATAGCCTCTTCAAGCAGTATGTGTTCTAATTCCAGATCTAATAGAGAATCTAACTTATCAAATGCAAATATATGTAACAATGCAAACTCAAGTAATGAAAATTTAGCTATTCAAATTGTCGGAAACGCAAGGCACAAGAAAGTACATCAAACATTGCTGAATCAATTTTACGAAGTCGGAAATTGGCTGAGAACAACAGTGATCACAAAGGCACAAAGAAAACATGGACTTTAAAAAGCAAATGCTAGAATTCATGGGTAAAATTTTAGACAAATTATAAATGTTTTTATTTTAATTTACATGCAACAAAGATAAAACGGAGTTGTACAAATTATAAGATTGTTTCTTTTGTTTTTGATAAAACATGTACCATTTATTTTCTTGTTTACTTCTTTTAGTACAATTAATATTTTATTTAGTTTTGTAAAATATAGTATAGTAGCTGGTACATCTATTATACTGCGTTCTGCCTTCCTTAATATTTTAAACATATTCTTAAAATTTGCTTTATTTTTTAATATTAATAATTAATATTAAGTTTATACACATAAGTATTCACTAATGTCTTCCCATTGTAATTTGAATTATTTTGACGATTTTCAACTTTATGCCTATACATACATATTTTTATAATATAGTTAATTAGTTAGATAAAGTTGTTGCGTAAACATGGTCATAGACGCAACGCATAAAGTTGTGAAAATCGTACAAATAACAGTTATAATAGCAAAAGATTAATAACTTCTTGTATATATCTGTGATAAATTGAATAATGGTTATATGCATAAGTGATACTTAATGTTAAGAACACTGATATATAAAATAAAATTTTTCTTTCTATGTTGGAACAATTAAAATGTTTGGTAAATATTTCTGATGAAAGTTATGTGGAACAGAATTACTACATTCAGTTAACTTAATTAGTCTATTATAACAAAATTAATCAATCATATTGATCAGAAAAATAAATTGGTTCATTAATTTTGCTGCTTGGTCGATCGAAAAAGTTAACCAGAGTTAGTGATATTAGTTCTTTATGTATAACTAAGTATTACATTATATTTAGTATTACTTATACAGTGTTACATATATGTAACTTGTTTTTATTTTTATTGTACCTCAAGACAATACAAAGTATTTCATTTTTATTTTGTCGAAGGGAATGATTAATTAATATTAATGCTTGGTCGACCGATTAAGTTAAGCAGGGTTGGTGATATTAGTTCTTTATGTATAACCAACAATATTACATATATATAACTTGCTTTTATTTTTATTGTACCTCAAGACAATACAAAGTATTTTATGTTTATTCTGTCGAGGGGAGTAATTGTATGTGTTAAAAATTAATTATAAACTATTATAAAATTAATATCAATAACAAAATGTATCTTTCATTTTATTCTTTTACTTTCTGTCCTAAATAAATTAATAACGAAGAGGATGTACTTATTATTTTAGAAGTAACACGGAAATGGCAATTTTTAAATATAATACTATTATAAAAATAAATAAAGAATTCTTTTATATGTTATACTATTTTTATTTTATTAAACATGTACATATTAGTTTATATCTATGTTACAAAAGTATAAAAGATAATAACTTGTAAACTTCTTTAAAATAAAAAATATATTGCATTCCTAGCAAAATTAGAACTGTTTTAAGATTTATATGAGTCTTATTGGAAGTCTTTGGCTAATTAAGTCTCTTCTCAGAACACCTGTTGTATCATCTGCAGCAACTTGATGAGGAATATCGTTATCTACTTCATTATTTAATAAAACACTGTCAAAATCATCATTTCTTAGTATACAAATATTATGCATGACACAACAAGCAAGTATATAATGAGCAATTAAGTCAGTCCGATTCATGGATAGGTTATGTAATATACTTCTAAATCGACCTTTCAAGGTACCAAATGCTCTTTCAATGGCGATTCGTGCTGAAGAATGGCAGAAATTATAATTTTTTTGTCGTTCAGTCAAATGACCATTATCACGATATGGAACCATTAAATTATCATGAATTTTATATGCAGCATCACCAAGTAAATGGGAATCATCAGGAAATTTTTCTGGGTTACCCAATGCATCTTGAATTTCTGACTGACGAAAAACGCGTTGATCATGCACAGAATCTGCATGTCCAATATAGCAGTGCGTGAAACGAGCTTTGTGATCACAGATCCCCTGGAAGAATATTAAGTACGATATATTCAATATATACAATATAGTGAGAAGGATAAATTCTTCCACCTAATATACTAAGTACATATTGCAAACTTGTAGCTGAATGGAATGGTGACCTTTCCGATTAACATAGGCTTCTGGATGTATATGTGAAGATGGGATATTGATGTGAGTACCATCGATAGCTCCTATGACTTTAGGGAAGGAACTAATTACTTCAAATCCTGTCCAAACTTCTTGGATAGCGTTGCCTGTTGGCCATTTAATTAATACTGGTGCTAAATCTGCAAGTATCTTGGTAACTCGACGTGTTGTTAATAAGGCTGTTGATCGACTCACATCAAACTTTTCACATATTGATCTAGGATTAAAAAAATTATGAATGAAAAATGCAACATTACCTTGAGTAGGTCTTATTATTAGATATAATGTACTAACCTGTAAGAATCTGGTGTAGCCATTCGCCAAATAGCAATAAAAAACTGTTTCTCTGGGGAGATCATTCCTAACCCTGGATACTTTCTCTTAAGTTTTGGGGCAATTATCAAGAGTACAAACTCAAAAGTGTCTCTGGATATTCTAGATAAGAAGTGTGTAGAACTAAAATTAGTACAGACATACAGCGTATTCGACTGGACCTGGGTTAACCCATGCTGGGTTACATAAACTCAACTTAGGCCCAGTTCCACAATTTGCTTTAAACGGAGTTTAAAGCTAAACCGATGGTTAAAAGCAATTTTAACCATAAAGTATATACTACTGCTTTTAACCATCGGTTTAGCTTTAAACTCCATTTAAAGCAAGTTGTGGAACTGGGCCTTATTAGTCGAACGTATACTATACTATACTATATAGTACATGTTCGACCAATAAGCTGGGTTTATTTAACCCAGCATGGGTTAACCCAAGTGAACCCAAGTCCAGTCGAATATGCTAATAGAAAAATTTAGCTAATTTCTTTCCAATAAATACCGAATATCACTATACTAAATACTTTTTGTTGAAATTTCAAATGACATTATTGAAAAATTACATTACATTACATTACATTTATGTTATAATTTCTCACGTAACAATGTAAATGTAATAAAATACATGTTGCATTTACTTTGCTGCAGTATTTACTGAGCTACCATAAATAAATACATGATGTGAAATATGTTCACCATTCTATGATGTATGTATAGAACTTTGAAAATTAATTAAAGATAATTTATCATTACCTAAAATGCGACTTGAATTCTTGATCTTTCCACCTAGGTATCACCTCTTCCACATAATTTTGTAGTCTTGGCAGTTTCTTCCGACGTCCTACTTTTAAATTAACGAGTACATCCAATTCTTCTTCGTCATCAGATGATGAAGACTCTATTAATTCACTCAGAGCAAAGAGTAAAAGACTTAATAATTTTTTTCTTTTTTGGTTATCCATATTTGCACCAACATCAGCCTTATTGTAACGATAAATTCACTCAAGTAACGTTCGAGCAGCTCGAAAGCGTAAGCTGCTTATAGTCTCTCCGAATGCATCTATCAGCGTTAGCGTTTGTTGCGTGATAGCGTGCTCCCCGAACGCACCCGGTATAGGATCAAATTAGGATACTGTTTCCAGTGGGAGCAAAGTAGATGTGAGGAAGAACCAAGAAGAATTGATATTTCAGCATTGCCAACTTAAATGACCATATACTTTTTGTTTGGAACATTTTGGGTGCGTTCGGAAACAACACTCGTGTGCACACGAGTGCACACCAGCCGTTCGGAAACACTCAAGCTAAGACTCCATGCATGCGGTGAACTGCGGCAAATGCTGCGGTGACCAATCAGGAGGGGGGCGCAAGTCCGATTGCGGCAAGCTCCGGCATGCGTCTGTCTCCTGATTGGTCACCGCAGCCGTTTGCCGGAGCTCACCGCATGCATGGAGTCTTAGCTTTAGTGTGCACTCGTGTGAAGTCGTTCGGAAACACTAGTGGAGTGACATCCCTAGCCACCAATCCACCCGACGAAAAAGAACATGGAGTCGGTGGGACTAGCGAGAGAATCTAGTTTTGGCGCGTGTTATTTCACTAGGTGTATAATATATCGTCGATGTAACCTATTAATCTAGATATAACCTATTAACATTTGGCATTAATAATAAAAAAATATAATAATGCATAATAATATTACATTAGTAGAAGGACGGCATCGTGCTGTAATGATTGGGGATCTACCCGTGTTTAATTCTAAAGGATTGCTTGTGCAGGATGTACAAAGTAAGTTATTATTGACATTCAAATAATATAAACAGAAATTGTAAAGTTTGTATCTCTTGCATATTTTGTATCAATACAGATTGAGAATGTTATATTTATATAGATTTGGACTTTTTTATAACAATTATATAGCATTATATATTATCAGTAGAAATGTATTCATAGTTTCATCTTGTAGGTGACAATATTATCGTCGTGCCTATATGTGAGGAGACAGCAAAATTCTTCAATTTGCAGCTTACTGAGGAATCACCTATACATGACAACGGTGGTCCAAATTCTGCTGACATGGTTGAATTGGGTGAGACAACAGGTAAAAGTTTATCTATGGCGATTGAACTGTTTTGTATGTGACAACTTTTTCCTGATTTTTCAGAAATACAGTAGAATCAATAGCATCTATCGATACAGCTTAAAATGTCCTTCAAGATTATATATAAACATTTTACAATGTCATATATACATTGATAGTTATACGAATTTCAAAAGTGGTCAAATCAGTATTGTCTAATTTGTCCACTTTTGAAATTCATATAACTATCAGTGTATTATGACATTGTTTAATATTTATATATGATCTTGAAGGACATTTTCCAGTCTATCAACTGATACTGTTGGTTTTATTGTATCTTTGTCTAGAAATCCAGAAAAGAAAAGTCGTTACGTACAAAACAGCGTCCGATCACTCACATGTTACGTGTGGTTTTGTCCAAATATATTGTGTCATATATTCAAAAAAATATTAATATTAAAATATAACCTGCAGTTCCAAGTACGGCATCCTGGAAGAACGATAATGAAGTGAGATGCCTTATTAATCTTTGGCAAGATCACCAAAACCATTTCAAAGATATGAAGAGCCGGGATGTATGGCTTATGATTAGTAAAGAATTAAAAAATAGTAATCGAGAATGGAATCAAAAATCTCCTGTCCAATGTGAAAACAAGTGGAAGGACATAAAGAGGAAATACATGGAAACGAAAGACCATAACAATAAATCTGGGAATGATCCTAAAACCTGTAAATTGTACGAAGAATTGGAAGAAGTTTTAGGCGAACAGCCGTGTGTTAAACCCATTACTGTTGCCTCGAATCTTATCAAGAGGAAGAGAGCAGATATAAAAGCCAAAGATCCAACTTATTTCGAGGAGATGAGTGAAGATTATGAGTCACCAACTGAAGGTGAAGAAGGTCCTTTATCAAAGAAAAGACAACGGAAGATAACAAAAGTTCAAAGAGAGTTGCAAGACTGGTCCACTGCTCTTCTTTCCGAGGCGAAATCTCGAGAAGAGGCGAGGAAGCGATGTCACAGAGAGAACATGGCTGAATCGAAGGCAGCAATGGATGCATATAAAGAGATGATGGGGAAACTTATTGATAAGTTGTGTTTTTTTGTATTTCCTCGTTAACATTTTAATGTTTATTTAAATGTTTACTTTGTTTTACAATTTTAAATACTGTTTTTATACGAGATGTAAAAGGTTTGTATTTTCAAAGAATTTTCTAAACTGTGCAATATAATTTTATAAATTTTACATTATACAATAAGTTTTGAGTAAAACCAACTCTATTAATTTCGCTCTAACTTATTGCATCACTTCAGGAAGTTATTCGAAAAACAATAGATCTATTCATATAGATAAAATGTTTTTTTTTTAATCCTTATGAAACCTTAATGTTCTACTACATAATTTATAAAGTTATACGTGTTAAAGCATGAAGATGATTAAGATTTAACTAAACGTAAGATCCCAAGTAACATATGTTGGTTTACACATTTTCTAAACGTATGTAACGCTTTATAACTGTATAAGTTTGCAGAAATGTTTCTTAAATGATGTGTGCTACTTGGGATATAACAATTTTGTTAGTAGTAAGTTACAGTAAACGTCGATACTCATATTCTAAACTTTTTTGATTAAGATGTCGATTGTGTATTATACAATACAGCGAAAAGTACAAAAGTTAAGTATTGTGCTACATTGATTACTAAAATTTTGTTTAGTAAAATTATAGATACTTTAATGATTGTGTGATATATGATCGATGCTCAAATAACATATAACATATGAGGCTGTGATGCAAAGACTCATTTATTAATATTAAAATAAATATATTTATAACAGTTGTGATAAAAACACTGATAGTTATACGAATTTCAAAAGTGGACGTTACGGACCTTTATCTGTTTTCTCATTCAACTTAACCATGTCAACAGAATTTGAACCACCGTTGTTATGTAAAGTTCGCTATATTTTATGGTGCAATCGTCCTTGTGTTTCTTTTTTTATAGTGCTGAATGTATGCTACTGCTAAATTCTATTAAATGTTAGTATGTATGTCTCAAAAGTATCTTAATGTAGAAACATAAGTTTTTGTTAATATTTTTGAATCATGTAAGACTGAGTTCTGTTTGAAGAAAGCTTCTGTGTATTATCAGAATAACAATTTTTTTGTTAAACTACACTATATATATACTAACTATATTTGTGTTCAGGTATAAAATTTATTAAATAAAAAAGACCATGTTTTAAGTTTTGTTTTCTTATCCAGACAAACTTTCATAGCTGTATATGATATTACAACATACTATATTACAACATAAGACCATCTTGACCAATGAACATCTAACATAAAGTATCCACGTTAACAGTCTTATACATGCAGCCATACAGGTTTATCTGGATAGGCCTTTATGCTTTATTTCGTCAGAACCAATATATTTCATTATACAATGTGTTCCACAAGAGTTGTAAGATATTCACGGCGGGCCAATCCTATTGGGTCATTAGGTAACCAATTAGGGTTTAAATTATTCGCATTATTGTTGCCACCAGCATTCTGGTCCATACCCTCTTCTATAAACTCATCTATATCATGTTCACAACCTTGAAGGCAAATATTGTGAAGTACACAACATGCCAAAATTACATAAGGTATCAGATCGGCACAGCTCATATGCAAATACTTTAGTCGTCGGAATCTTCCCTTAAGAAGTGCAAAAGCTCTTTCAATAACCGCCCTCATTTTTGAAAGATGCTGATTAAAATTGTTCTGTGCCTGCACAGATAAAGGAACAATATTTAATTAAAGCAACTTACAGCATAGATATAAAAGAAGTTCTTGCTGCATTCTGAATTAAAACTTTAAACAGAAAGTTCACTACTCTACAATTGATTATACCTCAGTCATATTGCCTCTATTGATATGTGGAGCTATGCACCATGGCAGCACCGGATAAGCTTTTCAGCTATAATGAATTCATTACTAGGAAAAAAATCATTTTCATTTCTTCTTACTGTATGCCGAGAGATCAGAGTTCCTGAAAATTCTGGCATCATGAGCAGATCCAGCAAACCCAACAAAACAGTCTGTGAATATTAGGTCTGCATCGCACACAGCCTGCAGTATAATGGCATATTCTTTTTTTCTTGTTCTATAGGAAATAGGATGAACCTATAAAAATAAGATAATAAAATTTGATAAAAGTATTTTTAGTTTCCATGAATTCTTATAAATTATTCTTATAAGTTAATTATAACTTAGGTTAAGTAAATTAAGATAAGTAAATTCTTACAAATAAGTTAACTTACCTTGGCACTGGGATAGGAATGTGACATCCATCAATTGCCCCTATGACATCAGGAAGAAAGCCAATTCATGAAAATCGATGTTTAACAGCATCCAATCGTTCACCTACAGGCCATTTAATATACCTGTCAGCTACATTATTCAAGGCATCCACAACTCTTCTCATGGAATCATGCAATAATGATTTGCTAATACCAAAGCGATCAGACACAGATCTAGAAAAGTAAGAACCGTGAGATATAAAATTTCTTTCCTCTTTACAACATTAAAAATACGTATCTTCGACAGACATCTGACATAAACTTACCTGAATGAATCAGGAGTTGCAAGCAACCACAGAACTGCAAGTAACTGTGTCCGGACATCTAAAGTATGTCTTCCACTTTCCGCTGTTCTAATCAGATCAGGTGCCAATATTTGCTCGAAAATTTCGTATGTTTCTCTAGTCATTCGGAAATGTTCTCTGAATTGTCTTTCTGAATAGTCACGTATTGTTATATTTACATAACCTTCAATTCTCGTAACGTGTCTGAAATCTCCTCGTTTACGTATCCGTGCTTCAAATATATTTGCCTCTTCATTCCAGCGATCGTATTCTTCTTCACTGCTCTCTTCATTCTGAGTTTTTCCAATAATTAATTTTAATAAATTATATCCACCAGTTATCGCACCGGCTACAAGTACAATATCCATTTTAATAAATATACCTAGTATCTGGTCGTTCTTTGGTAATGGCTGAAAGCAGAACTATATGTCACACCTAGTACATGAGAAGCGTTCGGTGACGTGACTAGTTGAGGGCACACTACTAACAAACTACTGTTCCACTGAAACAACCGAAGCACACTGTTTCCGAACTCACCCACGTATATGCAAGTAGTTCAAGAATAGGGCCCCAGATGCGAAGTAATTCTTCGGTGGAAACTAAGCCATTGAAACGTAGTTCTGATTGGCTAGTCATATGGTTTTATGACGTTAGATTTAGAATTTAATGTTCGTCTGTACCGTTGCGTAGGTCATATGATTCTGTCATTCAGAGTTACGAGAAATTGACAGATTGTCAGTGGTCACCGAGTCATTGTCAGTGATTACGACGTTACGTATGAGTGAGTGAATACACGCAGCAGAAGACGCAGTCAACGCAGGTCTTACGTTCTCTGAAAAAATGTCTCTTTTCGGAATGGTTAATCCCTTTTCCACGCCAGTAGGACAAAAGATTGGTAAACGCCTTATTTACGTTTCATATTATTGAATCATGTCGAATATGTTTAATGTTTTGTTTGAGGCTTTTGTTTCCAACACGAAAGACAAATAAATCGGTCATAATGACTCATGATTATGTACCCATGAACACAAGATTTCACCCATTCCTTGTTCAAATGAAATAATATAACTGGAAAAGAAAATTTGCCATTTACTAATTGCTAAACAAACTAACAGTGACAGTAAATTCTATGATATATCCTTGATATTATTTGTCTTTATAGAATCTGCTACAGATGGTAACTTACCAAGTGAGAATTGGACACTGAACATGGAAATATGCGATATTATAAATGAAACTGAGGATGGACCAAGAGATGCTATTAAGGCAATCAAACGCAGACTTACCCAAGCAGCAGGCAAAAATTATACTATAGTCATGTATACACTTACTGTTAGTATTATACTATTATGAAATATTGCATACATAGAACTATATCAAATATCACGAGCTTTGCATAGTTTATTTTATATAGTTGTAATTATATACATGATATATTAATTTCATATGCATTTGTAATAATATAATATTATAAATACTATAATCAAATGCTGATTGTCAAGTGATATTTCTAACTTTCATTCAGTTCACACAACCCAATTAGATTCAATAGGTTGTTGCAGTTATATTTATCAAGGCTATAATAATCTAATAATGTCTAATATAAATATATTAATTTATATGTTGTGCAGTTATCTAAGTAACGAGTAACAACACTTGTATAATAGGTATTGGAGACATGTGTAAAAAACTGTGGGAAACGTTTTCATGCTCTTGCTTGTTCAAGAGAATTTGTCCAGGACCTAGTTAAATTAATCGGTCCAAAAAATGAGCCACCTACTGCAGTACAAGAGAAGGTTTTAAGTTTGATCCAAACATGGGCAGATACATTCCGCCATCAGCCACATACTCAAGGTGTTGTGCAGGTCTATCAGGAATTAAAGATAAAGGGCATACAGTTTCCAATGACTGATCTGGATGCTATGGCACCGATTATTACGCCAGAAAGAGTGAGTATTTTTTATTCAAATGGAAATATGTTACTATCTGATTTATTGTATATACAAGCAGTCTTTTTCCTTTAATATTATTTTTCTAGAGTGTACCTGAAACAGAACAAGCTCCAGTAAATCTGGCTACAAATGAGCAGCCTCCATCATTGGGTACACAACATTTATCACCACAGACACAATCTGCCAACCAGTTAACTCAGTTGAATGAGCAACAAATGGCTAAATTACAAAGTGAACTTGATGTTGTTCAAGGAAATATGCGTGTACTATCAGAAATATTGGCATACTTGACAAGTCCAGACCAAAGTAGTAATCAACAACCAGATACAGCAGATCTTGAATTATTAACTGTATGAATTTTACTCTTGTTTTTATTCACAAAATTCATCTATATCTTTATCTACAAAATTTATTTATATATGCTTTATTAAGATATTTTCTTCTTTTACAGGAATTTTTTTATAAATTTTAATATGAAAATTTATATTAATAAATATGAATGTACATGTTTAAATAATCATTTGCAGGAGCTTCATTCAACATGTAAGGCGATGCAAGTTCGTGTTGTCGATTTAATTGGTAAATTGGCTCATGATGAAATGACAGCAGAATTATTGCGCATTAATGATGAATTAAATAATCTCTTTCTTCGTTATTCGCGCTATACAAAGAATAAAATGCAAATTCCCGCAAGCACTATACTAGCTCAAACAATTGGTCAACCACCGAATGTTGAATCAACTCCATCTCTTACTAAAAAAGAAGCAGAATCCCTTATAGATTTGTCTGATGATATGGACGGCATAACGAAACAAATGAATGAACTCGGTAAGTATTAAAATTGTAAAAATTTAATAGAACAAAAGATTATATTAACCCTTTAACTGCTACGGTCGAGATAATTCGAGTGTGGAAAAAAATGGTCTTGCTACGATCGAGTTTACTCGATTTGGACTTTCAATGTGTGTGGTATTACGTGTGGTATTTTTTTAAAATTTAAAAATGTGAATTTGTGAAAATCTGGATCATCAGCAAATTATAAAATATTTTATAATTGTAAAAATAACTCAGCAAAGAGGGTCATACTGGTCATTTAATATCTCAGCAGTTAAAGGGTTAAACATTATAAAGTTATGTCAGTATGTTTTATTCATATATTCGGTCGCGTCTTTGCAAGAGATTAATGTAACATCTTATTTTTAATCAAATATAATAGGTGCAGCTGAAAATGTAGATAAAAGCAAAGTAGAGCGAAAGGAAAAGAAAGGAGAAAGTGACGAATTCGACATGTTTGCACAGTCACGTAATGCAACATATGAGACAACAAAGAATAGGTACAGTATTTTATTATTATATATATTATATATTAACATTATACAGGGTGTTCCAGAACAATTTTTATAGAGCTCGTGGAGACATGGGCCGGATTAAGACAAACATAAAAGTCTCATACCGTTTCGTGATATTTAGACGGATATTATGATGGATGATTGGACAAGCGTTGCAGCCACTCGACCCACAGCGCGGCCCAATCGATTTAACAATTGTTATTGTTACTACATAGCGAGAAGAAAAAACGCGCTGCTATTTGTGTTTTATCTCGCTGCTCTTACGACTCGCCGCACGGCAATAGTTGCTAAATCAATCATGCTGCGTCCCGAATGGTTGCAACACTTTTCTAACACTTATCCGTCTCAACACGTGCTCATTCGTCAGATTTCTGTAATTAATAATTCGATAACTATCGCGAATATCGCAAAACGGTATGAGACTTTTATGTTTGTCTTAATTCGGTCTATATCTCCACGAGCTCTGTAAAAATTGTTCTAGGACACTCTGTATATTATATATTATTATATATTATACATTATAATATTATATATATGTATATATATTATGGTTGAAATTAATACATTTATGATTTATGAGCAGAAAATTGTTGAAATTCCTTTATTACATTGAAATTATATCTTTGTAGCTTATTAGGCTATAGATATAGTATTTCATATAATACAATTAAATATTATTTAATAAAAATATTAGAAATAAAATAATATAATATGTAGGCAATATTACATATATACTATATATACTACTATACTATACATATATACTATATATAATACTATATACTATATATATAATACTATATACTATATATATAATACATATATACTATATATACGACATATAACACTAGCTCTATTTTTTGCATAATTATTTATAGTATATTAAAATATAAAAAAGCAAGAACATACATGACTCATATTGTATATTCATTTATTGAAATTTATCATTTTACAATTTCGCTTTAATATCGCATGAATATTATAGTTTATACAATAATAATGCAATATTTCCGATTACAGTGGTAGCAAATATGAGGATAATCAGGAACAGGTGAGAGGAGGGAGCTTAAGTACAGCAATTCTCAATCGCAATAACCCTAAATTACCACAGCAGGCTGCTTCTACTACAAATGCTAGTGTGCGTAATATCCTTTCCTCTTTAAACTAATCATTAGTATCAATTATCATGACTTTTAAATTTCTTCTTTGCCTATTTACTTTTTTACATTTATTCTTTTTTATATAATTTAACAATTCATAAATGTCCAAACTCCATAATCTATCTTTGATATTAACTTAATTTTAATGAGATAAATACCTTAAAAATTAAAACTGAATAATCTTGAAATTTAGGTATTAAAGCGCCATTATAAATCTATATTATAATAGGCAATAATATAAAAGGCAACTTCGAATGTGTTATTTGAAATTATTTTATAACTATTTGGAATTCTCTGAAAAACTTTATATAGAAAAAAATTTATTCTAGAATTTTTACTGGAAATTTTTAAGAATAATTTAATTTATTAAAATTATTAAAAGTAATATATCTAAAGTTGTCTTAAATACTGAGATTATAAATGAAGTTTGGCAGATACATACATGTAATGAAGGGTTACAAAGTACGGTAATTCTTCCAACACAAATCTCACTTATATATATTAAGTATTAGTGATATATTGTTTATATATGTTAAGTATTAGTCATCATAAATGTGCATTGCTTTTAAAGCTTTTTTAGAGAGAATATTTAATATATACAAAATGTTCATTTGAAAACTTTCTAGCTAATTATCTCGAAAACTATGAAAGATATTAAAAAAAGCTAAAACATGTTTTCCCTGATTTCGAAGGGGAAAGAGAATGATATTATCAGTTTTTTACTTGGAGGGCATTTTCAAGGTCAGTTGAAGGTTAACTTAATTTTTTAAAATAGAAAGCCCAATTTTTTATTATATCTTCTTTTTCTACCAATTAATTTTAATAACTTTTGTCTGAAACATTTTTCTATTTGCCTAATATTTTTTGAAATATTTAAGGAAAACTTGGTAACTTTTTCAACATTTAACTTACGATATCTCGCTAACTATTCGTCGAAAGAAAAAATAATATTAGACTTTTTTACTTTATTTTATTGTCAAGAATATGTTACTATAATAGTGCTCTAACTTTTGTTAATTTAATAATTTTGAAATTTCGAAAGGTAGATAAGTTAACAAAAGTTAGGGTACAATTATAGTAATATATTCTTCACAGTACATAAAGTAAAAAAAAGTCTAATACTATTTTTTCTTTCGACGAATAGTTAGCGAGATATCGTAAGTTAAATGTTGAAAAAGTTTTTCTTAAATATTAAATATTTAAAAAAATATTAGGTAAATAAAAAAATGTTTCAGACAAAAGTTGTTAAAATTAATTGGTAGAAAAAGAAAATATAATAAAAAATTGAGTTTCCTATTTAAAAAAATCAAGTTGACCTTCAACTGACCTTGAAAATGCCCTCCAAATAAAAAATTGATAATGCCATTCTCTTTCCCCTTCGAAATCATGGAACACGTGTTTTAGCTTTTTTTAATATCTTTCATAGTTTTCGAGATTTTTGCCTGTAACGTTTGAAATTCAGCACCCTGTATATATACAGAGTGGGGGTTATAAGTTTACAACCCGAAGTGTGAAGGTAGATTGAGTTAAGACAAACATAAAGGTCCTATACCGTTTTGCGAGATTCGCAATAATTATCGAGTTACTAATGACAGAAATCTGAGGAATGGGAGCGCGCCGACATAGATGATTGGAGAAGCGTTGCTACTCAGGCCACAACGCGGCCCACTCGACCCAGTAACTGTGGGCGGCGTGCGACGAGATGTAGATCCGGCGAGATAAAACAACGAATAGCGGCGCATTGTCTTTCCCCTCGCCGCGCACCGGCAACAGTTGCTGGATCGACTGGGCCGCGCTACGGCTAAGCAGCTGCAATGCTTCTCCTATCATCTATGCCGGCGCGCTCCCACTCCTCCGATTTCTGTCATTAATAACTCGATAATTATTACGAATTTCGCAAAACGGTACGGGACTTTTATGTTTGTCTTAACCTAATCTACCTTCACACTTCGGGTTGTAAACTTATAACCTCTCACCCTGTATATAGGGGTGTCTCAAAACTTTGGCACACGGGCTCCGTAGGAACATAGAGGTAAGTGAGAGGAACAAAACAGTCCTCTCCATAATGTGAAAATCATAATAGTTTTTTAGTAATAACCGCGTAAAGTTTGGCGTTTTCCACGCCCATCGCGGCCTATAGACGCTCCGCGGCAAGCTATGTGCGTAGGGGCTAAGCAATAATGCGTTTCGCGCTGACTGTCGCTATGGCGCCTTGGCACTTTGACGCCGCGCGACAGTCAGCGCGAAACGTGTTATCGCTCAGCCCCTACGCACACAACTTGCCGCGGAGCGTCTATAGGCCGCGATGGGCGTGGAAAACGCCAAACTTTACGCGGTTATTACTAAAAAGCTATTACGATTTTCACATTATAGTACAAAACTTTTTTGTTCCTTTCACTTAACTCTATATCCCTACGGAGCCCGTGTTCCCCAAAGTTCTGAAACACCCTGTATATTTTTTTTATTACACTGTCTTTTTCCACCAATTAATTTGAACAATTTTTGTCTAAAACATTTTTTATTTGCCTAACATTATTTTAGATATTTAAGGAAAACTTGATAACTTTTTCAATATTTAACTTACGATATCTCGCTATTTGTTGGAAGAAAAAGTGGTACTAGACTTTTTTGCTCTACTTGATCTCAAGAATATATTTTTACAATAGTGCCTTGACTTTTATTAACTTATTGACTTTTGGAAATTTCAAAATCATCAAATTAACAAAAATTATAATGTATATAAATATATATATACAGGGTGTTTGAAAGCTTATCATACAAACGAAAGTTGGAGATAGATTGGGTATAGCCGAGAAGAAAAGTCATGTACCATAATGTCAAATTGACAATAGTTATCGAGTTATTAATTGAAACATGTGAGCCAATGAGCGCGTAGAGAGCGCTGGGCGGCCGCCTCTTGTCGCTTGCGCTCGCTCGCTCGCTCCTCATCGCGCGCGCTCGCCTCTTGTCGCTTACAGTTATCCCTCGCCGCGCGCGCTCGCATACTTGACTAGCTCGACGCTCGTTGATTCCGCCTATACCAAATGTCTACGTGCTTACCGCGGCCACCCAGCGCTCTCTACGTGCTCATTAGCTCACATGTTTCAATTAATAACTCGATAACAATTGCTAATTTGACATTATGGTACATGACTTTTCTTCTCGGCTATACCCAATCTATCTCCAACTTTCGTCTGTATGATAAGCTTTCAAACACCCTGTATATTATTTTTTAATTTTAATTATATACATTAGATATAATTATATACATTAGATATAATATTTATTATGTTATTGTATCAAGCTTTGTTTACCGTTATCAGCGTTACCACATTGTTCATATTTCATTTTATCGTTTCGTTCAATATTTGCGTTTGTTTTTCAATATTTAGCAGAACCTGGAATCTGAATTTAATGAAATGGCAGCCTGGTTAGATCGCACGGTAAGTACCATATGAACTCAAATCGCTATGGTTATAACTGAATCTCAAAAGTCGTGTTACATGAATTCTTTTAATTTCCACATATTTTATTTTCCATAATGAATTTGCTGAGAATGTCGTAACGTGTGTGTGTGTGTGTGTGTATGTGTGTGTACGCGCGCGTGCGCGCACAGTGTGTCTATATGTATGTATGTATGTATGTATATGTATGTATGTATGTATATATATGTATGTATTATAGCCTGGAGCACAAGGTGATCAGGAATCATTGACGTCATCGGAATTCGAGCGTTTCTTAGCAGAACGTGCGGCCGCGGCTGAAGCTTTACCAAACCTATCCACAACTGCTAGCACAAACTCGTCAACTACTGGTAACCAGAACATACAGCGCCAAATTAACAAAGATCAAGACAAGTCTCTATTCGCTCTTTAAATATCTTAGAAATCTTCCTGTTGCGAAATTAATTTGTTGGAAGATAAATTTATTAAGAGTGTGTGTTTGTTCAGATAACACACAATTTCATTATTCCCTCTAATTAAATTGCACTCCTAATATCATCGACGATTTAAATATCGATTTGTATTTTTAACATTAGGAGTTTTTATTCTGTCATAAGATAGAGTAAAAAGATGAGGGAAAAGGTACATGCAAAAGAGAAGCTTTGTGCTTGTACGTACTTAATAACATAACAGATATTACATAATCATGTTTGAGATCTTGTTTCTGTTGTAAAACTATGATTATAATGTGGATAAATTGCTTTAAAGTTTCTGCAAATCATTACAACTGACTATTATGTAATGGTAGTATGTTAAGGACTAATTTATGTTTGTATATAAGTAACACAATGCGTCCACAAAGTTATTCAAGTCATATGACTTCTTGCTATTATAATGCCTTGAGATTGCAAATGTAAAATGTGAAATTATACTTGTTAGATTTCTAAATTGATGCATGAATATTTGAATGAAGAAACCAGTCAGACAATTATTCTTCTCTATATATTGACAAACTATTTTTCTATGTTAAAGTAAATTCTGTCTTAACTGTTTGACATTCTATACAGAGATACATTCTACAAAAATTAATTATTATTTTTACTATTGTAATTCCTATTATTGTAGAGAGACTATTATTGACGTAAATTAGTAGTATAGATTTATTATTATTATCATTACTATTTTATATATATATATATATGCACGCATGTATATGTATATACATATATATATATATATATATATATTGCAGTTATATAATATTATAAATGATTAATATATTCTGAATTCATAAATGCAGCTGTAACAATGATCAGAGATCTTTTCTCTATGTTCTATGTTTACAGTTCCAGAAGTGATATTTTAGCTCGGTCTTCAAGATTCTATTGTTTATCTGCATTTAATATTGTATATTCTATCTAATTTGCTTATGTTTCTACTGTATTTACATATTTACTGTATTTATCTAGTGCAAATAGATGATTAAGAAACGTACACCTGCGGTGCCTGTATTGACTGAACTCGCAGTTGATAAGGAAAATCTGTACTCCTCACTTATGCAGAAAATAAAACTATATATCATGATCAAGCATCTTACGTTCTTAATATTTTCTATATTATATTTTAGTATTACATTAATTGTTCTATCAGTCTTTTACGTTTTCGAGCTCTCAACATCAAATAAATCTTATTAGAAGTGAAAAAGTAAAATACATATTTTCCACATTATATTTCAATTATTAAATCAAATTATTATATTATCTCTAATTATTTTGATGTATTAATATATTAAGGTATCGACTAGTCTTAATATTACATAAATATTATAGACATAAATATCTTCGCTGTTTTTCTTTTACTCATTTTTCTAATTATTTCTGTAGTTCATTGCGCTGCTCTACAGACAGCGCTAGTCGATGATTTCGTAAGTCGTGGTTACAGTCTGCCGGGAGTACCACCGGGATTGTCATGTTATCAGCGAAGCAGTTGTAACAGTTTGCTTGAGAATAGTGCAAGTGTGATAGAAACGATAGATTTCGAATGATCTGGTATTGCGCTTGCGAAGAAAGATTTCTGCACTTGGCTAACGAGGATCATGTATACCGTGTCAAAGGGCCCTAGTAAAATCGTAGCGAAAACACGTCGAGGTACTAAATTTGGATTTTCTCCCGATCGTCACTTTTTTCGACACGGAAGATATTCGCGCTATATTCAAAAGTACGTGCAGAACGCAAGTGAGATTAAAACGAATTATTATTTTTCATAGGGATCAATCAGAATTTGGAGAGGTTAGAAACACTGCGTGATCTTACGAGGAAAACCGGTCCTGAGAATAATCACGAGATCACCCGGTGAGAATCGTTTCTTAAACTTCTGTTTTAACATCGCTTTTCATATTTTCTTCCCTCCTTATTCTCTCTCTCTCCCTCTCTCCTCTCCTTCTCTGTCCTTCTCTTTCTCTCTTGATATTACGCAATTCGTAATTTGCCCCGTGAAAAAACTAAGGCCGAAGTTATTCAGCATACACCATATATACGAATCGCATGTTATTAAAATTTCCAGCAAGATTTATTGTGAATAATAATGAAAAGACATACTAAAACCAGTTTTGCTTTACATTATTTATGATAAATGACTTTAATATTTCTAATTCTTAATACTCTATCATGTGTTGCGTAAGACGACACGTGTATAACATTGCGAAAAAATGATTTGCCTCACTATACATCTATGTTGAGGCCAGTTTGTTCTATGTTGTTCAGTCACATACCAAAACCTGTTTTTCACATGAATGGGAAGTCAAAACTCACTTCGCAAAGGCATCAGATGCAAGAAGTTATCACACCACAGCATGAGGAACTTATAAAATTTGTTTATGAATGTAGGTAAAACACAAATGCATATGAATATCTAGTATAATGTAGCATAAATTGCAAGTTGCGTACCTATGGAAACACTACATGTATGTAAAGTTATACATTTTATATTATAAACATATGTCTATTATTTATATATTTTTTATCAATTTAATTTATTCTCAACAGCATGGAATCAAGTCAACATACGACAAACAAATGAATGTTGTGATGGCACAGAATGTACACAACTTTGCAGTAAGTAGTGATAAAACAAATTAAAATTAATTTATGACTTATATAATCTATATATATATATATGTATATATATATGTGTGTATATATATACTGCTTATTTTTTAAGATTTCATCAAAATATAAAACTGAATATACCAAAGAAAAATATTGTGAACTTATATTTTGTTTAAATATTTTGTTTACTACAGATCCTAATTCAATAGTATATTACGATGGTGAGCCAAATGATAGTCTTCAAGGTAAATCATATCACTACTTATAGTTAAGTTTTACTAAAAAATGTTATTAATATTCTTCAAATTACTCATGAAATTATTTCCAAAATAGTATGTATATGAATGTGTGTATGTGTGCATGCATGTGTGCTGTATATGAGCGCATGTGTGTGTTTGTACATAAATACATGCTGTTTACATATTTTATAATTGTGTACAATAATATTAAACACAATTGTGTGATAGTTTGCTTATCATACTTATTTTAATTAAGGTTGTACTGTATCCATGCCAGTATCACTAATAAAAATATATTGTTGCAGATTTTAAACCATTTGATTTAGAATCTTGGTGGGGTAAACGACTATTCAATAATATCACAAAGTCACTCTGAGACACTCAAATAGTAACAAGTGTTTCTTCCTGAAGGTGCAGTGCTAGATAGTATACAACAGCAGCTGTGACATACAAAATAACCAGTGTCACTTTCGGAGTGTAATTTAAACCTGATCAGGTCTGAAAGTTATTATAATGTCGAATATAACGTTCAAGAGTGAACTCGATATATATATATCGACTTCTATCAAATTATTAAGAAAGGTCATTGAAATTACACGCATAAATAACGTCACAAAGTCACTAGGCAGTAATATAAAATTCGAACATACGTGACAGCTTCAAACGTGCACGCGTGTGCTAGAGTAGTCAAACACATTGTTACCCGAAAATAATTTGAATCATTTATATACATTTGTTAACGATCTTTTTATCAAATATAGATATTTCTTTATTGTTGCTCTATTGTTAGAATTGCTCAATTTTAATATCATAGAGTGTTTTGACACTCTTGTACAGTGAGCTTCGTAACACTGGAGCAAGATCGCAGAACTTTCAGTAGACAATAAGGAATAATATAAAATATATATAATTGCAAGGCCATCATTATTAGAAAATATTGAGTTTCGATTAAGTTTTACAGTTACACCAAAGTTAGAAGGTGCAAGCTAAAATATACCATACGAACTAAGTAGAGCTAAACGAAAATTGCCCAATTTCTCTTTCCACCATGGTATGAATCCTCTGTGAGGTTAAATTTTTAATTATAGAATGTTGTACATATCGCTACAATGATCGCATGAATGCATGATAGTCTTACGTATTACAAATTATATCCGAATACTACTCTTATGTAAGCGAAGATTTAGCATAAAAACGTAGACTGATAACATTTAAGAAAATTAATATACTGTTGCTCGCGGAATTGTAGTCAAATGCAATTCGCGTTACAGAGTATCATCAATTAAATTGTTATATCATGGCTGGTTAAATTGTTTCTACCGCCGTTGTGTTATATATTTTCGTCAAACTATTATACATTAGATAACATATATGTGAACCTTCGTCGATCATTTAAAACCGTTATGATCCATGTCCATGTATGTAACAGAAAACAATTTGCAACAGTAGTTGAAATGTAGTACAATGAAATTTGGCTAAATGTGGCTGAATTACATCATTAATAAATATTTCTTTATACATGTATGTGATATTCTTCCTCACTTCATATTTGATGTCTGATGATGTTCTTGTGAAACATAAATTTATCATTGAGTAAATATAATGAAGTAATGTGATGTATAGTATGTTCTAAAAGTTCAGTAATGATAAAAATATCTAAAAAATAAAGTATTTCATAGAAAATATATTGATAAATATATAGAATACTGGTATTAGCTCCGATTTCTCTGATCTTTACATATGTTATTAAGGATATGTTTCAGAATAATCTGCAATTTTAGATGTCACTTTTTATAAAAGAGTTATGAATAAAATAATTTTGAGGAAATAAGTATACCTGCGTGCGACAAATCCATAGTATTGTAAGTCTTTAACACCGTGCAATAAATATAATTTTAGAAAAATAAACATTAATCATTGCTCATTGTTTATTAAAAAATTATTGAAAAAGGTTTCTTAGATAGAGTTTAGTTTTCTGATACAATGTACATTAAAAATTTTGAATAGTACATATAAGCGGGGGAGGGGCGTGGTCCCTCCCCCAAAAAAACTTCAAACCTAATCTGACTTTTTTATGTGAAAAAACCAACGACATACATACCTAGATCAAGCATTTGCATACTTTCACTATAACAGCAAGTGAAGTCGGAATTTGGCAGTTTATAAGTGAGAGAGAATGTTGATTTGCGTTTGTTTTCTCACTTTTGACTTATATGACAAAAAGAGCAATTAACCTTAACAATTTTACTGTAAACAGTATGCGCGGATACACATACAAGAAAAAATACAGAATATAAAATATGATGTTTTGTTACATTTCTGGCATATACTTGAAGCATAAGTCCGATGTCTGAATGTTTCGGTTTTCTAGTTTTAATATTTCTTGCTTATTTGTATTTTTCAGCTTATATCCAAGTTATTTTCCCGAGCTTAACCTGCCATTATTATTAACATCTTATTTAGACTCCATATTTTTTTTCTTTTATATATTTTATATTTTTCTTTTACATATTTGTCTATAAATATATACTTAAGGGGATCCTGGAGTCGTCTGTTTTACCGACAAATTGACTCAATTTTCTTAAACACTTCTTTTTATTAGCTATACAGATTGAAAAATTCTTTTGTACAGCGAAAGTACTTATAATAACGAAGTGCGGAAAGCAGAGTTTTATGTAAAATTTAATGAAAAATTAAAAAATTACAGTTTTCGTTATCATATTCTGCATCAGCTCGTAACTTTACTTATTAATTATAAAAGTTCTGCAGTTTATCCATGCAAAAGCTTTTGCTTCCGTACTAGCCATGATATGAAAGAATAATACTAAAGTAATAGAAATGAGCTCAGAGATCAGTGTAAAAAGAATAGTGTTTATGAAAAAATAGTTTGGATGTGTGTGTGTGCGGAATATTTTTCCTACATTTTGGGGTAAAACAGAATAGAAGATTAGTTCCGCATAATTGTAATCGATGGAGCTGCAGGCAGACACAATCGTACTATCCTTGTCTCTTTCATGCGTAGAGTAATATTATGACAATGAAACTGTAGTTGTTAAATTTTTTGTCGAATTTTACATAAAACTCTGCTTTCCAGACTTCGTTATTATAAGTACTTTCATTATGCAAAAGGATTTTTTAATCAGTGTAGCTAATAAAAAGATTAGTGGTTGAAACTCTCTCGTATCTTGGTTTCCTCGATTGCACGCTCATCAAGCTGCGTTTGCAATCAGTCGGAAGACATTGTCGTATGTCGCACGTATGTCGTACCAATCACAACCTCACATGTGGTGTCTTCAATAAAATTACGTTTAAATTAAATTAACTACACATATATATATATATATATATATAATTAATATATATATAGAGTTAATTTAATTTATAATTTATATATATATATACATATGTCATAAGACGTTAAACTTGCACATTCTCATTATTTTGTTCTAATGCAAATATTTAAATTTTCAACATAGAATACATATATATATATATATTAAATGTATGTATATATATTAATTATGATCGAAAATTTAAATATTCATGTTTAAAAATCAAAATAATAAGAATTTCCAAGTTTAGGTATATATCCGGGTATCGGCACTTTTACTTTAACTACTAATATGTTATTAAAAAAGCAACATTTCTTTATTGTACCAAAACTTATTTGTAGAATCTCATTTGTATTTGTACGGTAATATATTTCCTCTCTTAGCACATTAAAATGACAGTGCACAAGGTGAAAAATATAATTCTTTACAAAGATTGATTGCCTATTTTGTAAATTGATATACAGCCACAAATAAACTTACTTCAGAAACATCTGTATATAATATATATAGTAATACCTGCAGTAATATAAGTCATAATAATTACACGCACTCTCTCTCTTTCATTTTGTACACTGTTATTGTAATTTATTATGAGAGAAAATATATTATCACAATACAACTACAAATAAGATTATAACAAACAAAATAAGATTACTACAATGAGATTCTAGAAAAGATTATGCAAAATTTTGATATGGAAAAGAAATATTGTTCCTTCAATAAGTCTAACATATGAGCAACTAAGTATGGCTAATTCTGTTACATTGCCCAAGATTCAAATAGAGGAGACAGCAATAATGAATTCACACTGGTATTTATCGCCCTCTAATCTCGCCTAACAATAACATGATGAGACTTACATGTCAGCGGATTTATTAATTATCTTAGCTAAAGAAAATCTGAAATAAGATGATGCGGTACGCGCCGTCAGTTGTCTGCGATTGTTATCGTAGATGGTACAGAGAGACACCAGTCACACATGATGCTCGTTTTAGCGCTGAAAAATTATCCGTCACATTTTTCACTTATATCTCTGCAACCAGTAGAGATATCGACATCAGTAGCAAAGCATTACATTGCACGTATTCTGTTTTCCATGGATTAGTAGTTTATAAGGGTAAGAATAATGAGCATTCGTTAATTAGCGTGGAAGTACGTAGGCCTTGCCTCGTGCCGCTATCCAAATCTATAATTTGAATACTCATTATTCGTGTCATTAAAAAAAAAATTTAAGAGTCACCGCCAAATAAGCAGGGTGAATAAGAACAAACATAAACTTGTGCTCACGCAAGAAAACAACAAAAAGAAGATGAACAGTTTTAACATGGTTTCACATGTGAATTCATATATGCGGTTATCAAACCATTTTATTTGTTTTAATCTTTTCGGAAACCAAAACATATAAATAAATAAAAAGTAAAACTTGGAATGAAAAGAACCTGTTTTTTTCAGTATGTGTGTGTGTGTGTGTGTATATGTATGTTGCACAATCTGTGTGATGTAACAATCTGAATATTAGTACAGTAAAAAAGTTGCGAATATTATATGAAGAATGTTGTGTACATGATAATAATAAGTGATAATAGAATATATGAAATACACATATATATTATTGACATATAAACATTTTGATTAATTCAGTATTCAACTTATTAATTTATTATCTCACAGTAGTGATGCGAATTTAGTGACTAGCTTGCACGAAAATTTTTCTCGCCATGCACGCACACACAGCCGGCTCGGTCTTTCGGTGTGAGCCACACGGACGCGATCGGCAATCGTCGGCGCGCCGAGCGAGAAAGAATATCATTCTCTCCTTCTCGCTCTCGTTCCCGCTCAGCGAGCGAGCCTAATTCTTTCTCGCCTATATCGCTTGAATCGCGGGTGCGACTCTCCTCTCTCTCCTCTCTTCTCTATGACAATACTGAAAGTTTTCTCTACTCGGCGCGCCGAAATTATTATGTATAATACTTTATTATTAATATTATTATTTGTAATATTTATTATTTGTAATTTTATTTGTAATTGTATAATAATGCTACAAATAATACAAATTTTTACAAATAAATTGTAAAAATTTGTACCATTTGTAATATTATTTCCAATAGTATTAATAATATTCGACGTCAAGAAAATGAAATATATGTTATTAATTATGTTGCGGAGGCGGGCAGGTTTACAGGTTTGACTATTGAATTGTTTAATATTTTAAGAATAATTTTAAGTTGTACAAGGATTGTTGTAAAAGAACATTTGAAGTTGTAAAAGAATCAAGAAGTATGAAATGAAACCACCTTGCTTTTATTACAATACCCTCTAAATTAACAAATATTCTTCATACAGTATAAAATAATCTCAAAAAACAATTATAACCGTGAAATTTCTATCTGCGTGAAAAAAAATGCATAAAATATATCTGTTTCATCGCTCTAAATGAAAAAAACTCTCAGAACAATGTCATAGTTGTTCAGTGCACTACTCAATAAAATATAATGTTTGTATGTTTGGAGAATATTTGTTAACTTAGAGGATATTGAAATAAAAGCAAGGTGGTTTCATTTCGTATTTCTTGATTCTGTTACAATATTCTTTTATATTTCACATTACATCCTTGTACAACTTAAAATTATTCTTAAAATATTATTAAACAATTCAACAGTTAAAACTGTAAACCTGCCCGCTTCCGCAAAATAATTAATAAAATATTTTTCATTTTCTTGGCGCCGGAATATTATTAATACTATTAGAAATATTACAAATGATACAAATTTTATTTTAAAAAAATTTGTATTATTTGTAGCATTATTATACAATTACAAATAAAATTACAAATAATAAATATTACAAATAACAATATTAATAATAAAGTATTATGCATAATAATTCGGCGCGCCGAGTACAGAAACTTTTCAGTATTGTCATAGAGAGGAGAGGAGAGAGAGACAGTCGCGCTCGCGATTCAGATTATAGGCGAGAAAGAATTATGTTCGCTCGCTGAGCGAGAACGAGAGCGAGAAGGAGGGAATGATATTCTCTCTCACTCGGCGCACCGACGATTGCCGATCGCGTAGTTCACACCGATAGACCGAGCGGCTGTATATGGTGCATAGCGAGGGAAATTCTCGTACAAGCCCGTCACCAAATTCGCATCATTGTCTGACAGTTTTCTTAAAAAAAAAAAAATGTGCAAAAGAACGAATATCTG